TTTTATTTTATGGATTTCTTATGAAGAAATATCTCAAAAGGAACATCACGTTATGCTTTCATCAGGTTCCTCCTCCTTTTTCTTTTTCAAATAAGTTTTTACCCTGTTCCTCCCATGAAAGACAGGCTAAATGATATGGTTAACCTTTTAAAACACTCAACAATACAGATAAATCTTTTACTAGAGAGTAACCTAAAAGTGTGCATGAGAACTTGGATAGGAGGACTTCAGAAATTTCCTAAAGCCAAATAGCGATATGAGAATAAAAACATCTCAAGCAAAAAAGGGTCCCATTCATAAGAATAAAAGCTCTAGTTCTTCTGGAGTCAGACTCCAAACCATGGACTGCAGACAATATAAACTAAGTTGTTTAAATAAGTACTGCAACTGAATCCTCTCTTCATTTGTTGATATCTTTTTTTTTTTTTCTGGAACTGACACTCGATCTTTTCACAATCCATATTTCAGTCCATCTAACAACACTATCAGTCCCCAGAAGAAAAAAGAAACTAAAGGCAAACACTAGCTGTGTGCTGACCTCACACTATAAGAAAACCATGCATGGGGACACAAACAAGTCTGTAGATGTATTTCAACATATATATAGACAACCTTTAAATTAGCATAGATATTCATTAGTGTGTAAGCAACATTTGACCCAGTATATGTTCATTAGTGTGTACATATCATATACAAATGTGCATATCCTATTCTCTATCTTCCTCGTTTAGAGTATGCTGCAGCAACCCCCCAGTCACATCAGATAACTTATCATTTTGCTCATGTATGCCTAAATATTACCTATCATCCATTCAGCATGTACTTTGTTAATCATCAAAAGGTTTTGTACATACATTCTGTAAAAGAATAATCCCCATATGTTACTCACCTTACTTCCGGTCCATTAAAGAAATTGGGTAAAATGGTCAAGAAGGTCTGGCAAGTTTGGGACATAAGAACACCATTCCCAATTTTGCAGAGTTAGTCGTTTAAAACCACCACAGCTACTAATTATGACCAACTAATTGTTAAGAATCCAATGTCTATAAACTAACCATCACTCTGACCATCGGCCATCTTATATCCTTATGTGTTACTTTTAAATAACAAGTTTCGTACTTGTAAGGTCTTTAATTATAATAAAAGGAATTTGATTTAGATGGATGTAATACTAATAAATAAATAAATAAACACTTGTTTCATCATCATTCAAATAATTTGAAATTACCGAAATAAGCATTTAATAATATTAATATCTAATGGGTAGGACTTTGCCATTATTCCCTGACCCTTCTGTTCTGCACCACCAAAGCTGAAAGCATTGAACAAACAATCAAAATCATAGAAGCTAATGACCCAACAGTTGAAAAGAAGAGCTGACTACAGCATTAGAGGGGAGCCGTTGCAGAATGAACTTACAACAAATTTGGGTGATAGCTGTCCATTCAGTGCTCCATTTAAATTGAGGTGGTACTACAAATTATTGAAGAAATGAGGATGTCCCTTTCGTATGATTAAAAAAATTCATGTCAATTGTTCTGCAAATTTACAAATGAGTGGGGGAAAAAGAATACTAGCTCTTGTTGAGCTGTCCAGTTACATAATCTACCACTTCTCAGTTTTCCAGTCCCTCATCTTAATTCAACTCTTGCTCAGTATGGTTTGTAAATCCCCCAATTGTTTTGAAGAAAATGGAGGCACCCTTTTCCGAACCAACATCATGATTGCCTTAGCCTTACCAAGCTGCTTGCCCCTCTTTAGGCCTTCAAGCAATGTATGAATGGTATCCACATTCGGATACCAATTCTTTTGCATGCAGTCTTTACACATAGTATATGCCAAATCAAAATCCCCTCCTTTACAAAGATAATGAATCATGGTCTGATAAATTTTGATATTTGGCTTGTATCCCTTTCCATGTAGAGCAGAATACACCCTTTTAGCCATTTCAAGATACCCGGCCTGGAAAAACCCTTTGATCACCAAATTATATGTGACCTCATCAGGTGTTATCCCAACATTCTGCATCAAACCTATCAATTTGTTAGCTTCCCATGCTCGTCTTCTGTTAACCAAATACTGGATTCTAACATTGAAAGTTGCAAGATTAGGCAAACACCTCTTCAGCACCATAAGATTCCATAAACCATTTCCAATCTCGCACCAGTTTTCTTTATAAAATGCTGACATCAGTGTGGTATATGTAATGACATCTGGTCTTATTCCCAACTTTTCCATCTGTACCATGATCCGATATGCTTTAACC